ATGGTTTTTTTTCTTAGTAAGTGCAAATTTACTATCTATCACTTGAACTCTTCTGGACGTTAAAAGTAACAAAAACTGAAACAAAAATTTCAATCGGTGTTGTACTTCTAGAAAATTATGCGGGGGAACAAATTTGAAGAAGACGACAACCAAGACGACAACGACAAACCGGCAGAAATTAGTAACTTACTTTTTCTTATCAGAGGCATGTCAGTACCGCAGAAAACCAGTTATCTCGATTACAATTTCTTCTCTTAACAGCGAAGGTACCTAATAACAACCAAACAAACGAATGTGTCCATCGGTTTGTTCCAAATGGTTAGAACCCTTAAATTACTTAATAATAAAGTTTTCACTTTTCGAGGTTTGTCGCGGAGGTATAAAAAGCTTTGATGTCGAAAATTGCAAAAAAATCCAATTGCACAATTCTTGGTGTAGTAACAAATAATATAAATAAATCAAAGAATAAGAGTTCGCTAAAATTACTATAAACCAGGTGCCACATTCTTGATACAACAGCTTCCTAGCTCAAACCACTTTTGTTTGCGTTTATTACTAATATACTTATTATTAATAAAATAAACAAATCGAGAAACAAATATAGCCTCGAATATAGCAAACGAGCTCCTCGGTATATTTAGCTATTGCTTGGCATTGCGTATTATATGGCTAAAGCCGAGGCTTAAGCTCTGCTTATTTTGAATTCGGTTCATAACTAAAGGAGATTTCAAAAAGACATTCCGTATTTTTTCGCCAAATTGCCAATTCACGAACGCCGATCTACAAATTTGCATTCACCTGCAAAATTTCATCGTAATCGGCCCACTCGTTTTCGAGATAACGTGCTATTGGACAGCCGGACAGACATCGCGATATAATGAATACGCGAGGAACTCGTTAATAACCCTACCCTACCGCTCGACAACGATCACAAAATAGTTATTTGTTTCATTAGTACAAAAAATGTCAGTTTTCGGGACGAGGAAGATAGTTGCTGGACGACGCGTTAGCGGAGTCCAGCAACCTTCCGAGTCCCGAAAACGCATTTTTTGTACGAATAAAACATAAAATTTTTTCTCCAACCCCCTTTACTTCAAATTATATTCCAATTTAGATTCAGTTACAGTTTCACTACTATAGTATAAGAACTTCTGCATTCTTGTCCTCACGTGTCATGCCACTCTACTTTTTAGGTTAACTTATAACCTATTCGTTTTTACCTCTTACTTCTCACCTCTCGCGACTTTGTAGGGAGCAAATCTTGAGGTAGCATGTTCTGCCGTTTCTATAATCTCTGACGGAGTGCAATCCATGTCGCTATCAGTTTCAGTCATTTTATTGTATACACAATTAATATTGTTATATTTTGTATTGAAATAAAAAACTTACCATACAGTTTTTTAATTAAAATTAATTGCAATTAACTTTTTCAAATTTTGAATTCAAAATGACAGATAATAGTGCAATGGGTCTGAAGTAGATGGCGTTACGCGCGACGGCGGGTTGTCTACGTATTAAAATTACGTTCACGGAATATGTAAATTACGTTACACATGGTTTAAATAAAAATAGCGAGCGTAAATCATTTTCAATACATGTACATACGTATAGGTAACATCATTATTTGCATTGAATCTGCAAAAATATTTGATTTGTATGTATAGAAATATCTTACAACCTGCAATGTAAAACGATGTCAATGTGACATATCTCCGTGATTGTAATTTTTTAATTGGCCAACTTTCAAGGTCAATTTCTTTTTGGTACTAGGACCAAAAGTATCCACTTTTTGTACAGTTGCCATGGTGAAAGCGATTAATCCGCAAAACGTCAATTTTAGGTACCGAACACTGTCACAAAATAGCGTCTTATGCAGGTGGTTGGAGAAAAAATAATTTACCCTTCAAATGTCCCAATATTTGCATTGCGCGGTTACTAATAATAAAAATTCATTTTTGATATTGAGACAAATTTTAAACAAAATCCAAATATGATTCCGTAATCTACCCTTATTGTAACCCTCAACAACATTCATAAAACGCAATCCATATTCCGAGCCATATTCGCTACAATATCAACGGTAGCTTGAAAACTAATTTCTGAGATTGAGAGATAAAATTTAGACAAAAAGCAAATACGACCCCTTAATCTACCCCACCCTCGACAACAATCATAAAACGCAATCCGCCGCGGTCCCTACTTTTTTTGAGCAAAAAAATCAGCGAAGACAACCACCTAATTAAAATTATATAGTCGTTACCTCGGTCGTTACCCTTTTTTCGAGCCTTATGAATAATACCTCGATTCTAGAAATTTAACCAGTTTATAATACTTAATTTTGAACTAATTGGAGCCGAGATTGGAGCTAAAATCGAAAAACATGTTTCTTGAATTTTGTGAAAAATTTCCTATTTACCTACCTAACTCCAAAACACCTGGTGGTACGTAAAAATCCAACAGTATCAAATTGTAGCTTTCGAGGTAGCTTTTTTTAATTCCAAACGTTTTGCTCATGTTTCAAACGTATGTTTATATCTCGGTTTATATGAGAGCCGAGATAAGAGCACTCGTAAGAGCACTACCTTTTTTGGGCCCTTTAATCTCACTCCCTTTTAAAACTAACAGATTTTGATATAAATAGTCTATTAACTCTTGTAAAAACCCGAGTAAAAACCCATGGTTTTTTAAATTGAACTTTCTCGCATAAAGAGTTAAGTATGATTAAAAACGTGGCTGTTTGAAAGTTGGCGTTTATAATTTAACTTGTTCTCGGAAAATTGTGACAATAGTGTTTGATGAAAATGATAAGGAAAAATATGGTCATGAACGTTGATGAAATGAATGAAGACTTTTTTAAAATCTATTTTTATCTACATATGAATAATGGGAGGTATAATGTGTAGGTATAAACGAGGGTATAAATATATTTTTGTATGTAAGTACATACAGTGAGTTTTCTTTAAATGCGAACATAGGAGTTTGCATTCAATGTAATTTCCCTATGTTCGATTCTTAAAAAAACACATCAATCTATGAGATGTGCGCGGTTCACATTCCCAAATCGCGCAACTTGTGTGACTATGAATAACAATTCATGGTCTTTATGATGAAGAGCACTCGGTAAGATTTTTTTAAAGAAGGCATGTGAGGCCATAGCAACTTTAGGATACATTTTTCTTAAACTTACGATAACTTGACCTCATAGGCCACGCACTAACACCACAACTCATTGTGAACCAACCTCGGAACCAACCTTCAATTATTTGTAGGTCATGTGCACCTGATATTCTACTAATTTGATCGATTCAATACATAAATGAAGGAAATAAGATAATAAATAACGAGAACAATTACAATAAATGTTCGAAGTGTCCTCCTTGACATTCTAAGCAATAACCTAACCGATTTCGTAATTAAATTGGACGGCGGTATTTTTAAAAATGTGACAGCTGTCAATTGTATCTACTACTCATTTGAACTACTCAATAGGTTGATGTGTTTTTTTTTTAAATTGAACATAGGGGAATTACATTGCAATGTTCGCATTAAAAAAAATTCACTGTATACAGAGTGACTAATAACGATGGAACCAAAGCCCTGGTGTAAAAACGGTTGGAGATATCGGTTTGAAAGTTTTAGGACTGATGTGTTTGTTGTGCATATTTTTGTCCCGTATGGTTTTTTGACAAGGCCGCCATTTTAGCATTTTAAGCAATAACTTTTTTTTAATTAAAACGATGTGATACAAATTTTTTGAGAGTAACAGTAAATACTTTTCTTTATTAAACCACAATAGGGCTTAAGGGTTGAAATATCCTGAAATCATGTTGCAATCCAACCATCATTACTCAGCTCATCTGAGCCAAATTTTACTCATCTAAAGCGTTAATATGTGTATAGTTCTATAGGTTCTGGCTCGGGTTCTGGCGAGGGTTTTGGTATTTTCCGAGGTATTTCCACTCCCGTTTTTTGGACAATGTGATTTTTGCTCTGCACGGTTTTAACTTGGTTTTTAATATAAATCCGTTTCTGATACTGAGACACAAAATTTACACACACACACCAAACAAGACCCCTTAATCTCCCTGTTCCACAACAATAAAAAAACGTAGTCCACTCCAACCCCCAATGCATGCCTCTAAATTTCATTTGGCTCCAAATGAAAAATAATTCCAAAATTAATGTGAAACTACCGCATGTGGATTCACTCACGGATTCACGTAGAACGCCAACAGAAAAGCAGAATTTTTGGAAATATTCTCGGACCATTCTGTATATCTCCATGGCGAGTCCGCGAGTTATTTTTAGAAATATGCAAGTACATAAATGGTAAAAGCGAGGTGCTTGCAAGCACTTCCTATGAGTATATGACGAGATTCGCACGCGAATAGGTACCAAGTTAGGTACACACTCGGGTACACATTACATAGTTAGTCGTTCAAATTTCATTTTCTAATTATAAATGAACTTTCCGAGGGACTTTGTTATGCACTATATAAACAAAGCGCCTTGGTTGAAAATGTGCCAAACATAGCATACAGTCACAAATTTTACAGGAAACTCTGAGACTCTGACTCATTTCAAATATTTGTTTCATTTTAAAGGTGAAAGTATTCTGTTTGATGGTGTCAAGCAAGTAAATATGAATATCTTTCCGTAATTGACTTTGGTAATGGGCTAATGGTGATAAGAAACTGTTATCCAAAATAGAAGATGTAAGTCAATATTATGCATGCGGTATCTTAATGACCTATGACTTGTGATATAATAACTGATAACTTGGACCTAATACAAAAACAAGCTTCTGTTATAATGCTTTTGTTCAAAAGCCAATGACACTACCATTTAAAAATAATTTCCAGGTAGGTAATTGTATTAGACATTTCCTTATTATTATAGTCAACCTTGAACAAAATTCACCAAGGTTTATTTACCTGAACTCAGTCGCGCATGGCCAAAATCAAACGCCGGGCGAAAAAAAAAGGAAGAATAAAACTCACCTTCGGTTTTTCGAGTTTGGCCGTGGCTCGGTTTCTCCCATCATTTCCGACGTAATCTGGCACATCTTTTCGATCGGTAAACTTAAACACTATAGAGTTTTGTTCTTTTGGTTGTTTCGGTAACGTGGCCTTTGGCACTTCGACCCTCTTCACTTCGTCACATTTGAGAAACAAAGGCGAACTTACGTTCTGTTCTAATGTTTTCGCTATATTTTTGCTATTTTTCTCAATTTCCTGTGGCGTTAAGTTGGTCTGCGAAGGCAAGATTGGTTTTGCAGTCTTATCGGCGTGCGCGTTTTGAATTGGCAAAGTTTTCGTGCACTTATCACTAGTAATACCTGGAAGATGAGATCGAAAATCGGTCGAGTTCGATAGGTTGTATGTTATGGTGTTTCCGGCCTGTCGTATGTTATTTCTACTTTCTTGCGTGACAATTTTTTTGCCATCGGTTTCGGTTGTCGCCGGCGGCGATGGGGATGATTTCTGGTTAATTTTGATTATGAGGTTATTGTTCGAGTGTAATATTTCGGCTTTTAAAAAGTTATCGGTTGCTAAAATTTTGAATGTCGGCGATGGAGGGTTTTTCAAGGGACTAGAATGGAGGATTAGATCAGGCGTTTCCGATAGATTGGTGGTGATCCGCGATTGATGATTTAAGTCTTCTCGGTTCGGTGAACTGATCCTCGACACATCCGGAATCGGACTTGACCTTACTGCGGCGACATCGGGGGATGGCGATTTGTCATCCTTCTTCCATCCGTTTTCAATCGCGGTGATGGCCAAATTGGTCGGTTTTTGTAATTTGGAATTTTCGGGCGATCGTACAACTTGGGTCGCGGTTGGTTTCTCTTTGAGGATTGGCGGTTTTTTGCCGTTTTTGACTTGACCAATTATGTTCTTAAAGGACGCAACCTTTGCGGCTACTTCTCCGGTTTGTTGCGGAGGTTTGGTACGTTGCTCGGCTTTACCTTCGAAAATTCTTTTGGCTTGCTTGACAACATCTACGGGAGGTTTTTCCTTTTCACTCATCACTGGCGTTATTCGTTTAGGTCTGTTTATGATGTGCGGAACTGCATTACTGAATGGTTTATTTTCTGTTGAAATTTCCAATAGTTTCTTATCAAATAGTTTACCCGAAACTTTGTCACTTCCTTCCGTGGCGATAATCATATCCTCATGTAACGATTCGTGCTTAAGACGAACATCATTCGTCAGTTCAATTGAGTGCTCGTCGCTTCCAGTTCTCGATATCGTTTCCACGGATCGAGCTCTCTTCAGGTCACCGCGTTTCGTGTTGTACCTATTTGATAAATTCCTGGCGTTGTTTTCCTTCCATCTTGAGTTATATTCCCGTGCATGCGGTACTGTCGGCTGTCCATTCGGCACATCATCATCGAGCAGGTTTTCCAAGGAAGTTGCTTTACGTATTGGCAGTATCGAGGGTCGACTCTTCAAAGTATTCTCCCGTAAGGTTAAACTTAAGTACTTATTTTTTAATCTATTCACAATTCCAGGACCGTAATGCAATTCCTCCGACGAACTGGAATCTACACTGCTGCAATCGTCACCGTTTTGAATGTTATTGGATTCGTAATTGTAGTTATCAATTTGGTTATGGTCGACAAAAACACGTTCTTTAACCATTTTCGCTTGTTGTACTGAACTATTATTACATTTCAAAGAATCACCTTCACTCGAGTTTAGAACCGGGACTGATGCCGCCGAAGAACACGTTATGTTAGGTTGTTGTCCCGCACATCCGACCGCGACCGATGCATTTCGAGGGGTCCCCGCCAACAGCTGTTGCTGCTGTACCTCCGAGTACCACTTGTTTTTATTTCTAATTCGCATGATTAATTCCCTTTTCCATTGAGGAACACCATCGCCCACTTTTCCCTCCATTGCAGGTAAATTAGGTACTGGCGAAGGTAATCTATCGGTTGCTTTTGATAAAAACGACAGGCTGTGATAAGATAAAGATTGAGCAATTCACTTGGAATTTATCGATTATTTCTACCGCTACAATTACTTATACCTATGCAAAAATACATTATTATTTACGGTATTGATACACCTCGAGGCAAATTGACATTCATTCATTTCGACGAAATAATTTCACACACTATAAACTGTATCAGTCGAATATTTGGAATGTACACATCTCACTAATGACTAGCTCGTATTTTAATATCACATGTGCATAACTACTTTCTATTGAATAACAGTGTGCCTGTTCTAAATGTACATTACTACTAAATAATGACGTAATTGGTAAAAACAAATATAACGTATGGCGGCCTCTAACAGGACCGTTATTAAAATACGTAATACACCACCCCTAAATTATTGACATTATACCTGTTGCTTCAGTATAACATCCCAACCGTATAGCAACCCTTAGCAAAGTGAATTTTATAATTTCATTGTAGATATCTGTATGTTCTCCATTTCATGGAAGATGGCAATAGTTTGCAGAGTGACAAATAGTATTCTATCAGAATTTACCTTTTGATAAAGAAACGTTTTCTTTACTTGTTAGTCTTACTTATTAGTGTAGATGGCGAAACATGTACGAATTGAATAGCTACATTCCTCTTTATTCAATGACTCATAGCATTGAATAAAATAGTGTTTTTATTCAATGCTCATAGGCAATTTTAATTTGCATTACAATGTTATTGCAAATGGTTAGACCACCAATAATACACATTTTTAGGTATACAGGGCCTTCATTATTGCTAATTTGATAATAATAAGAGATACAAGGTCGGTTAAATTAGAGAACTAGTTAGCGTTGCCAGATTTTTTTGGGCTATAAAGGACACCTTTTTATTTCGGCCATCAAAACGGGATTTCATTTTTTTACCCGAGAAAAACAAAGGTACCTATATTTATATTATATACTTCCAAGAGACTAAAAGTGTGTGTTTAATCCCGGGCGTGCAGTTTCTGGCCCGAAACAAAGTTGAGAGCAACAAGCACCATAATATAATAATATCAAACAAGGTTTAAAATACGGGACAGCTTTGTCCCGGCGCACTGTGATCAAAAATGAAAATTTAGGATTAGAAAAATAAAAATTGCAACCTAGTCCAATTTTTTTTTAAATTTTTTCTCCGTACTAAAAAATAACAACTAAGTATCAATTTAACAATTTGAACATCTTTTGAGCATATTTTGTTGCTAAGCCGCAATAGTTAGAGGCCCCGCGCTCTGATTTTCTCGTTGCAGCTTGTCAAATTTTAGTGACATTGCAAATAGTCCAGGAGGCAGCGACATTTTTTATGCACTCATTTCTATAAACCTGATATTCTGCCATTTTATTGTTTTGATAGTACAATAAAAGTAAACAAAAGCGGTTGTCTACCGCGTCGGCGGCGTTGCCTAAACTTGCAACAATGTTCTGAACATGTTAATAAATAATAAGTATGTAGGTACATGCCTCATTTCTACAAGAATGAAAGTTTGTACAGTAATTAAGTATATAAATGAACTATGTTAATAGTCTACCGAGCTGGAAGCGTTACTATCACAAGTTTATACCACCCACGCAAGATGCATTATTCAATTGAACTTATTTCTACAAAGATGAAATTTTTGTTTCAAAAAGTTGATGTCATAAGACACTACAAAAATTGGTCTACCGATCGCGTGATGTTACTAAGGTTTCGGTAGACACGCTGGAAGGTACAACTTCCTGCTGCACCGCTTTTCTAAAAGTATCTCTAAATTTATTATTAATATTATTATACACGGGCATAAAATGAAAAGCTGTAAAGCTGTTTTTTTATATACCGTACCGGGTGAATATTTCAAAAACAAACATAGGCTAATTGCCTACATGGGAAAAAGTCTTTTTGCAGATCGTTGCTCCCCATGATAACTTATAGGATTTAGAATGAAGATTCTTTTCTCATCTAATGGTATACGAATCAATTCATTTTCAGTTGTATTTCTTATTACCTATTTTATCAAAAATAACTCCAATTACCAAAATCATGTTAAGCCATGAAAATTTTCTAATATGACACAGACAGAGTGGGACGCTCATTAAAATGGATGGAAAACAAATATCGCGTACGGTAACTCCGCTGTAAACGTCGTTTACTTTTTCCTCAGTGAATAAATTTTACAAAACAAATTATTGACAGTTGTCATAAACTTGTATTCATTTCGAATTGAATAACGAATAACGAATTTTTGATAAAAAAATCCGATACAACTGAATACCGAACGATCCTCTCTTCACGCATCCATTATTTTTATAACGCGCCTTAAGGGGTTGATTCTGCCCCACCAGATCGGAATAGCTTATGTAAAACAAATTGTTTGAAACGGAGTTAGTTTTGCCATGTTTTACTTTTATTCGAGGTGACTAGATACAAAATTTCGCTTAAAAATCTTTAAGACCGCGGTCCCGATCCCTCGTGTTTCTTGCTAAGCGTGGAAAATTACCCTAAACATTAAGATTGTACTATACATATACAGATGGCAGTTGCGAAGTAAAATGTTAAATATTTGGGTTATACCATGGTTATACAAAACTAGATGCCGCTTTTGGCGCTTCATAAAAGATAACATTGAATAAATTTATCTTGAAAGCTGATAGCTGCACTCAATGCTGATAGCAAATTATACCTATTTATAACGATTGTAAAAATGAAATTCAACTCGCCGTCTACGTCTGCACGAATGAGCATATTATGTGAACACTCATGCAGTGGTAATTTATTTATCCTCGAATTTATAAACTATCAAAGGGACAAATATCATTATGGATCTATATTTCGGAATGATTTTTTAGCGACACGCTTGTTCTGCAGGTTCTTGTACGCGATTATTTTTTATATAATGATAACGATTGTCATGTTATAAAGCGCATTTGGTTGATTGCATTATTTAAAAAATTGTACTACACTTTTTTGTTAGACCAAGCAAAATATATTTGCTTCCCGGTCGCCTTTGCTAATCAATCAACTAATCGAACTAATCAACGATGTTAAAATTTGGTTAAACCAAAACTGTTCCTCACATGAAAAAACGCTACTTAGGTGCTAAATTATTAATTTATTATGCCGGTTATTGAATAAAGTTCAGATTCTTTATTCAGTGGTAAAATTAAAGGTAAAGAACGCATCGCATGTTTACTTCATTCTCAATAATCTGTACAACAGTCAGACCCCGGGCTATGTTTTTAGCGCCCTGGGGTATATTTAGCTCGACTGCCCCCGTAACTAATGTTTGTATTAGTAAAATTGTTTACTTAGTGACCAAGCTTCAGACGGTTATTTATCTGTATTGATTTTGAAAAAAAAATTCACCAAGAACCACAGAGGCGGGGAATTGCAAATAATGCAAAAATATAATTTAGCACATCTTGCCGCTCCCTTGAAAGTGGCACCTTGGGCTATAGTCCAGAAACCCTATTTATAACTCGGAAATGAGAGTACAGACGGACCGACAGACAGACATCATCGATATTTTGTTTGATTCAGATTCCCGGTGCTTCAAAACGTGCATTTCCGTCAAAAAAGTGGGGGGTCATTTTTTACCCCGATGCAATAACTCCCTTACTAATGTACGGGTGGTAAAAACAGTGCACAAAAACCATTTTTAGCGCATTTTTTAAAAATTAAAAAAAATTTGCTATGGTTTGGGTTTTGTCCGTCCGTCCGTCCGTCCGGACCCACTTCTGCCGTTTTGAACTACTGGGGGAATGGTCCTAGAGTCCTGGAATTTTTTGCAGTATGCCTATAACTTGAAGGTGTGCCAGACGGCCATCAAATTTCGCTGTCTAAAAGGGGGGCCGCCCACGAATTATTTCCTGAGATGCTGGTTTGAAAGTAAAACGTGCATAACTTTTACATACGACAACCAATTGGTCTCAGATTTTCCATACGCATGCATAGTGGTGCCAAGTTAAAATTTAGAATAGGGGGGGGGGGACCCATGTTCTACCCTTCATGGTATTCTAATACAAGAACATGGTGTGTTTCAGCTAATCACATTATCAAAAATAAAGCATTTTTTATTATAGTCTAGTATGCGTGCGTAACTTTGCCCATTTAAGCGACTTTGCATCTCGTACGAGATCCCCATGGTGACAATGAAAAAAACTCACCCTGTATTATTATCATTTTATCATCTTTGTTACCACCTGCAATACGTACAAATTACAAATTACCTCCAACTTTTTAAGTCGATACGATACACTTACACACATTTCTTGGGCACCGAGTTTGGTCTTTTTCCCAAAAAAATTGGTGATTAAATAAGGATTTAGATCGATATTGGGTAATAAAGTGATTGCTACTAAAATTAATTCTTGATAGTTGTCCATCTGGAACCATAAGCTTTCTTATAGCGAAAACTAGAAGTCTTCCCAAGAAAATCGGTACATAAATAACGATTTTGACATTTTTTGTGAACAAAAATACACATGGATCACTTCTTGGGCATTGCGCAATTGAATTTCTCAAGAGAATCGATGCATAAATAACGATAAAAATATTTTGGTCGCCAAAAATAGGCATGTATCATTTCTTGGTCATCGAGCAATCGAGTTTGATCGTTTTCCCAACAAAATTGGTGCATAAATAACAATTTTGACCAATTTAGAGCTATAACACGTGATGAATGCCAAAGTTAATTTTTGATAGTCGATACGAGGTCTAGCGACTGAGCTATAGTACGGAACGACACGCAGACGGACAGAAATGTGAAGTCATCAGCGCTCCACTTTCGTGGATTGCGTTAAAAACGAATTCCTTCACCAGAACACAGAAAATTATTAATATTTTTCCTGCCCGCTAGTAACTGATCTGGCTACGGCCCGAGCAGTCAGAAGGGGCGAATCTTGCAAAAGGTGGTGTAAACGATTTTATCGTTTTAAATTGTCCATTTGGGTCCAAATAACATGTATTTGAAGAGTACACACCCACTTTCTCTTGGCACAATTTTTGACAGCCAAAAAACCTCAAAATGTTCGGATTTTTTTCAGTTTTTCGCTTAAAACTCGAAAACGGTCCATATTTTATATGAAGAAAACTTCTTTAGTAAGTATATTAAAGAAAACACAATTCTGCGTCGATCAAAAGTGAAAAGATGAACAAACAAACAAGCAAGGAGCCACAACGCATTAAAAAAAGGTTAACTCAGTTTTTTTTAGAAAAGTTGGAAAAAATCGGTGTTCTTTGATCACTTGTAAAAATTTTTCTATCGGACCGATTTTGTTTGTTCATCTTTTGATCACCGC